CGATGAAAGATGGCCCACAATTATGACTCTTCGCCTTTATCTATTGTGCTAAGTTTCTTGTTGTTGCGTCACAATTTCCCAAATAAGGCTTCTCTTGAAAATTGAACCTTAAAAAGGCAACAGAGCTTTTCACATAAGGGTACCCGTAAAAAGGCAACTATGTCTGTTTGGTATTTAACGACAATAATCAGTGTAAGATGGATGGTATTAGGCGAAGTGGTGTAGTGCATTCAATAGTCGGGCTTGCTGAAGTCTCATTAAAATTGGCTTTTTCGCTCGATAAAAAGTGAATGCTTGTTAAACCCACTCCATTAACCAAACATAAAATATTTTTTGTACTTTTTGGTACTAGTAGGGAACAAATATTAACCAAGCAAAACCTTATCGCAGTAGACAAGGAAATTAAATAATTAACAACTTTGAAAGCATAACGTTATTAATTTTGGGTTTTTCTCATACAAGGAAGGAAACGAAGATGAAAAAAACAGTATATTATTAAAAATGAATATTTGGAGGGATATCCTTTTTAAACATTTTGACATATTTTTTGCATAATTTTTCTTGTGTAGAAAACTGGGATCGTACTCCATTCCTTTTAAAATAGGTTTATCTGATTTTGGACGAAAGCAATTGAGAATTTTCGCACATGACGGTCCAATTCATCCCACACACGCATTTTTGCTAGCGTTCATGCGTGGTTATTGGTGGATGAGGATGAACCACCTTGGGGCAGTTATATAAAAGCTTTTCTTGAATGAAACGGGATTTACGCTTAAGGTAGAATTTCAATCCAAAATAGCAAGTTTGCCTGTAGTTTCTTCCAAATTATCCTTCGAAATCCTTAAATGACACTCCTTGTTTAGAATGCCATCCCTAAAGACCAATTTTTATGTTTGGAGTAAGGAGTAAGTTTAAACCTTTAAGCATTTCCCCTTTGTCGAGCGAGAAAACCCAATATTAGTGAGACTCACTTTTGTTTAATTAATTGTTTTCTTCCTTTTACTATCAGCAGGTACCTCTATCTTAACTCAAGATTCCAAAAAAAAAAAAAATTTATCAATCAGTAGCACATCTCTTAAACGATCGATGACTTTCAATATATTATCTCTCATACTCGTATAGTGGCACACTTTCGATTTGCTCGATTATTCCTTATTGTGGATTGAAAAATTCAAATGCTTTGATAATTATATGAATCTATGATGAAATCTACTCTCATGCTTTAAAGGCTTCTCAACTAATTATTAATGGAAATGACAAACAAAGCAAATCAATCAATTCTTATCTGCTGACCGGAAGGCAAGTGTGTATTGTGTTAGGCTTTTATGACTTGTCCGATAAACTATAGTCAACAAGTCGGGAAAACCAATAGTTAAACAGCTTAAGTCAATGATTACAAAAAAGTCTTTGTTTTTTAGCTAAGAGATTGTGTGCGTAATCTAATCTAAAGCTAACATAAGTGATTCGTGAAGACAGTCAGTATAAATTTTAAGATTTATATTACTTTACATTAGGAATCTTTTGTATTTGATTGACCGTAAGTAGTATTTTCTGTTTAGTTTGATAACGAAGACCTCATTAGACCTCATTGTTTGTTGCCAACCAATTATATATATATATATATATATATATTATGAAAAATATTATGGAGGTATGCGTAGGAAGAATGCTTCTTCATATCATGTTACCAAGTGTTTAACATTGCCCTCTGTCAGATAATAACTAATAAGTTACTTATTATAGAGGCACGTATAGTACCATATATCAATTAACTGTAAAGTCAATTTATTGCAATTAATCGATATCATATTTATGGCAATGGGCTAACTATGAGCATTTTTTAGACCTCTTCCCATATAAATATTCTTACAAGAAAATAATCATTTATATGAGAATAAAGTCAAGTTTTTAGAAATTTTATAATGAAAATTAATTCTGAATGCCCTTCCCATGTAAGAAGCCTTGGAAAAGCAAGTCTTTATACGGTAGTCAAAGTCAAATTTTAAAATAGACGAGAAATAATATGTTCTTGATGGAAAAATTTTAGGCTCACTATGTTAAAAGCGGTTTTTGGTTGGTGAACTCTTGCATTATACAGAGCAGTGTAAGTTGTATAGTCCTCAGTCCTTCACAATTGTAAGAATCTAGTCAATTTTCCCATTCAAAAGTTGTGCAAGAAAGCTACTCCCGAATGCATTCGTGGACAATTTTGATGAGTCATTCTTTTCCTTCTCGAAGGGCCCGACAGAGACCGCTGTTGTTCTTTTCCTTTTTGCTGACTTTGCGAACCTTTTAAGCTTATGCTGGCTTCTTCTTACAACATCAATAAGCCAATTTTCGACTTCTTCTGATACAGCTTCATCCAGCTCAGAAAAAGATGTTTTTGTTACGTGTTTAACTGTACTTCTTCTGGTATGATGCTGTTTGGCTTTTCAAGAAGGATTAGTTATTAGCTAAATTAACAGTAAACATCAAGGGTTAAATTTTTGTGAAATGTCTTGAAAAATTTCTTACAATACCTTAAAAACGTATCTGTTTCTGTATTACTATTAAGATGCAGCGGACCATATAATGGAAGAACTTAAGACGAGGTTACTTAAGATGAATTGTCAAATTTGCTATGCAATTTAACCACAAATCGCAATGTTTATCATTTATCTTCCATTTAATTACGTTTTTAATAAGGACTTTTTTTCTATTCACATTCTGTGGCGAATTTAATCTTTTATGGCCAGTTCGAACATTCTATGAACAGTTTTAACATTCCTTGGCCGAATGGTCATTTCGCGACCAGTTTTTTATTAGCGTTCTATGGAAGGTTTTAACTTTCCATGACCTGTTTTAACATTCTACGACCAGTTTTAACATTCCGCGATCTGTTTTAACATTGTACGGCCGACATTGGCATTCTATGGAAGATTTTAACATTCCTTTACCAGTTCTAACATTCTGCGGCTAATTTTAACATTCCGCGGCCGAAATTAACATTGTACGGCCGAATTGTAAAATTCCGAAATTAACGTTCTACGGCCGATTTTAACATTCCGGGATCTGTTTTAACATTCTACGGCCGATATTAGCACTTTGTTAAAGGTTTTAACTTTCCGCTACTAGTTCTAACATTTTACGGCTAATTTTAACATTCTGCGGCCAGTTTTAACATTCTACGGCCGATATTAGCTTTCTACGAAGGGTTTTAACTTTCCGCCCTTAGTTTTACCATTCTGCGCCCGATTTTAACATTCAGCGGCCGAATTTAACATTCTCTGGCCGATTTTAACATTCTTCAACTGATATTAGCATTCCATGGCAAGTTTTAACTTTGCGCTACCAGTTTGAACATCCATTTATTAATTCCTGAATTTAAAATAAAAATATGTTTATAAAACTGTTAAATCCTAATTTCCTTAAGATACAAATTGTTTCCCAACATATCTAGGTTAAGATCTTGACAAAGTTTGTAGATTATATGTTACACGTTAAAGAACATTAGATTATAGAGCTAATAAATTCAAAATGAATATATCAATACTTTCGGCTAAAGCTTATATATGTGTATACACTGCGCAAACAATTGTTTATACAATTCTCTTATGAAATTTTGAAATTTCCTTGCACTACTCAGTATGTTCTTGATACGCTTACTTAACATGTTGTATAATCAAGTGAAAGGAACATAGTTAGCCAGGCGCTAACATTAATAAATAAATTTACAATAAAAATATATATAATGAGTTATAACCACGACAACTGAACAGTATTAACATTTTATTATCCATTAACTATAAATAATATATTATTGATTTTCGTTTAAATTCTTTTCTATGCATACCGATAATAATTTTTGGGGCGACCACGAAAGATAGTTTCATTTTCAACCGACACATTGGCAGGCAATAATATTATCGTGCTGTGGCTGCAAGACATGTTCGATGTAATACTAAAGTGCTTCACAAAATTACCCAGTTGGCATTCTATCGGTCTGGTGATAGTGGCCTACGTTATTTACTATTTCATACAAGTGGTTAAGGTAAACTTGCAAAGCTAGAACCATACCCCACTTCACACTTGCCAACGTCATCTAAGAAGTCAACACTTACATACATCACGTATATATATGTTTCCTATAGAAAATGTAAACGAATTTCTGCACTTGACACTTGACATTTGGCCTTTACTATGGAGTATGTTTCTAGCTTGGGAAAAACAAAAAAAAAACAATTTTTTTTTTGCATTTTATTATTTAATTGTTATTATTTTTATTCATTTAGCGCCCGATATTGGCCTGTTCCGATGGAGCATTCAAACAGTTTCTCTATAGCAATATTCCAACATTGGAAATGAAATATTGGCCGACTTTTTGGTGTTTCGAGAGCCGTGCTCAAACTGTCTTCGCTAGTATAATACGCAGTAAAAATATACCGAATGTAAAATATCGCAGGTAAGAAAAAGTTTAAAAATTTTTTCGATGATGTAATCTAAGGGAAACAAAGGCTATTTCGGAATGAGTAATTAGATTAAAAAGTAGACAAGGCCGAAAATTGCCTAATATTAGGTTATATTGAAAACTCTCCGTGATTTTTTCCGCCGAATGGTGTTGACGCCTATATATCGGCCAGCATTCACCTGATTGTCTCAAACGAACATGTGTAAGGATGTTAAACTGCGTAGGATAGTTTCTTGTTTCCATCTACAAGCCTACTGCATGCATGGGAGCCTTTGTATGGGATCGAGCTCGAAACGTGAACTCACGAGATCCAAATTAGTAAGTTCAATTATCCTATGATTTGTTTTCGTCATAAGGTATTAAAAACTAGACGTTATTGCCATAGGAAAGACTTAAGTTTTCATAAGAAACCCCACCTAGGGTAAGGATAAAAAAGAGACCTATGTGATCCAGTTAATTACTGGACTAATTTTCATCATAAATTATTAAAAATGATAGTATTAAAAATGGATAGGCTTTAACCAGTGCACAAACTGTGCGACACTCTGTGGTTATTTCGTAAAAGATCATAGAGATGATGTGGGCGCTTGAAGATTGTCATGAAGTAGGACGTGATAAAAATCAACATTTTACATAAGTTCATCGAAGAACTTCATTGACAGTAACGAGAAGGGAATTGCGTACTCCAAAAACATTCCCAAACGATGTAGTCCATGCTTTGATTTGCATCTATTGACTGGATTTTTCAAACAACATTTCAACCATCAATCCGTGATTGGCGTTTTCGCCTGATTTAGGATTCTTCGAAAAATGCGTTTACCGATGACAGTAGCAATCCTCTCACCGGTACAATAAACGCACTGTCACTTTCAACGTAATACTCGGCTTGTACACATGCGATTGACGTAAACGATTATCAGAATTTCAGCGCAGTGAAATGGTGGCATCATTAGAATGTTGTATTCTCCTCCTCCTCCTCCTCCTCTCTCTCTCTCTCCTCTTACTTTAGAATGCATTTTATATTAGAAATTGTTTTTGTATTAATTTACATTTTAGAGAAATTTTAACTCTATCTGATGGCGGCGAGGTGGCGTTGGATTGGATGGAGGAAAATTGTGACGGGGAATCGCCTTGCATTATTATATTGCCCGGTTTAACGGGTGAATCGCAGGCTGAATATATCAAATGTTTAGTCTATGCGGCGAATAATGTCGGCTTAAGAGTAGTAGTTTTTAACAATCGTGGTCTGGGTGGCCTTATCTTAAAGACGCCACGCCTTTATTGTGCCTCAAATTGTGAAGACCTCTCCGAAGTGGTTCGACATGTCAGCGACATTGTGCCGAGAAAAAAATTGGGTGCTGCCGGTATATCAATGGGTGGTTTAATATTGGGTAAGTTTTAAAAACTAATCTCACAATCGACGCTCGAAATCGAAAGCAGATAAGGGTGTAGGGTAAAAATTATATTAAGAATTATAATTTATTCGGTTGGAGGCAAAATTTAAATTTTCTGTGAAAACGTTTTTTTTTTTTAAATCGTTGTGCAAACTCCCCAAGAAAAGAGCTTAGAACGTACCAACAAAAGTCTACAAAATCTTTATAAAACTTGCAAACAGTGCAAGACGAGCACAACTCGCAGTAAACATAGGAAAATTGTTGGGTTTTATGATTTGTAAATCGGTCAATGGACTGTGAATGGTCGTTTCTTTCAATATATTTTGAGAAAAAATTCGAAATCAATAGCAGAATTGACTTTATTGACATTTCTACCAATGAATTTAGTCTTTTCTAAACTTGTTCAGTCTAAAAAAGTATCGAACTCGTTGAAAATTCTAGAAAGAGACTTGACCAATTTTGTAGGTACCGCTCAGCAACAGTCCTCATACAAATCATAGCTTTTTGTTTGAGTCTTTTGAACGATATTAATCAAGCCTTTTCTTTTTTCTTTAGGTAACTATTTAGCTCGCAAGAAGGACGAAGCCAGAGATCATTTAGCCGCTGCCAAAATTATATCTGTGCCTTGGGATGTCCATAAAGGTTTACTATTTAAAAATTGCAAAGAAAAAGAAGAAAGCATTTCTATGATATTATCTTGTCGCATTTTAGGAACCGCCAGTATTGAGAAACCAATACTTAACAATCTCTTGGGTCGTCATTTAGCTAATAGCCTTTGCAAAACCTTAAGCAGATGTGATATTTTCAAGGACACGGACGTTGACATGGAGAGAATTAAAATGGTAAGTTTTCAGGAGTGATTGCAGTCTCGGCCAAGAAAAAAAATGCAAAATTTTCAATATTTTCTGTTTGAGGTTAAACGTGCATTGTCAAAATTTATTCGTATATTTTTTGTCTATCTATCTCATTTATGGTCGCGGGATATTTTTCAATATGGTCGCGCATTTATTGAAAGAAACTTTGTACTCTCGTCCTTGTAAACAAAAGGGTACGTTTCTATGAACTTTATAAAGGGAAAAACCAGATAACAACGTTTAGCAGCTGTTAGCCTGACTTTTACCTGGCCTTTATCTCAGCATTGAAGCATTTCTAAACCGCTCAGTCGAATATCAACTTGATATCATAATTTTCATAATTTTCCCAAGATATTTTATATAAAAGATAGATAGTTTAAATGAGTGAAATGTTGGTCTAAAGTATCCATTATTAATGGGCGGATAAGAACCTTGACTTGATTAATTAAATTATACTTAATTAAATTATGAAATTTGTAAAATTCTTGTAACTTGTAAGGAAAACAAAGAACGTTTATCCATTTCTTAATTAACGTAACTTCCAATCTCCTAAGATAAAGAAGTGTTCACTAATTTCAAGTCAATAATTGTCAATGAAGGGAAAGCATTCATATATAAGTTTACAGTTTAATAAGTATTCGCTTGAAAGGGATCTTTGTAAGTCACAGACTACTAATAGCTTTTAATATCCTACTAAAAAAAATCGATTGAAAAATGAAATTTTTCTCCAACAATGCAGAGGCTGGCAACAATATGGAAACTTACGCTAATTCACTTAGTCCCTTTAGTTATCTAAAATGTGCTAAAAACTTAAACTTGCCTTTTATTTTGTAAATTAATTTCTGCACATGAAATTTGAAAGGCTAAGGGCTTTATTGAGCGCACATACAGAGATTTCTGTCGAGAAATTTTGAAACTTGCAAAGTAAAGCGTTATATAGAAGGTGATTGCAAAAGTGATGGTCCGTTCCAATCCATTATCAACAGAGTTCACTCTTGCAAGAAAAAAAGCGATTTTCGCCAAAATATCTGAAAAATTTTAAACTGTTGATTGAATATAAAGCGTAGGGACGAACAAGCTTCAATTGATAATAAAAGTAATTTTGAGCCGA